CTGGTTTCACTGCAAAAGTGACAAAGTGCCTGCCCCTTTGTGATACAAATGTATCATCTTTGTAAATTCATCTCCCTTTTCTAATGAATATTTATGGGCCTCTTGTGGCAGAGCTGGTTATGTCCCTTGCCAGTCCTGCGTTGCAAGAAGAGCAATGACCTTACTAAGCACCTGCTTGTTGGAGAAGCAGAACAGGTTCGTTTTCATGAGCCTGGGTCACGCCTGCTCCTTCCCTATCGTCTCCGTCCCCTGATCCTTCTCCCTTTGGGCAGGGCGTCTGGGATCAAGAGCTCAGATGAAGGAGTAGTTTATGCTGTTTTTGTCTTCCCAGCATCCATGTGCCCTCTTTTTGGCATCAACACCCTGATTTCCTTTGGTGACTCATCCACCCCTGAGTTTTCACCATGTCTGAGATTTGGGAGACCTTAGCTTCATTCCCTGGCTCAGGAATGGGCATGTGACCTAGCCTGACCAATCAGAGCCTCCCATCCCAATGGCCACTGTGATTGGCTCAGGGATGAGCATGTGACCTGGCCTGGCAAATCAGAGCCTCCCATCCCAATGGCCACTGTGATTGGCTCAGGGATGGGCACAGGACTGAAAGGCTAATGATTCACTGTCTCAGTCCATCTTGGCTGTTCTAACAACAAACCATAGACTTCATGGCTTCTAAACAACCAAAATTTATTTCTCACAGCCCTGGAGGCTGGGAAGGCCAACGTCAAGGTGGGGGCCAATTCATTGTCCTGGTGAGAACCCACTTCCCTGCCTGCTGTCTGCTCGCTGTGTCCTCACAAGACAGAAGGGAAAGGGAGTTCCTTTTATAAGGGCAGTAATCCCACTATCACCGCCCGAGGGCCCCATCTAATACTATCACATTGGAGGTTAGGGTTTCAACTTGTGACATTTGGGGGGGACACAAACATTCAGTCTATGGCAGGTACTAACCCGAGTTGTTTGCTAGAAGCAGTGGAAAGCTCATCTCTCTTCTGGGGTTGCTAACCAAGTAGAAAACAACCTCAATATTTTGTAATATGATGAAACCACAGGGAAGAAGCCAAGAGTTGAAAAAAAAAAGATAGTTTCCTTTCAAAGAAATTTAAAATTTGAAGTAATTTCAAATATACAGAAAAGCTGTGAGCATAGTACAAAGTTAGCGCCATACATTGACCTGGAATTTCCGAGCATAAGCACGTCTCACATTTGCTGAAATGTGAAATTTTCGTGAATCCAATACATTTCATTAAATTTTTTTATAAACCAAGTCTGAACATCCAAGACCCACGAGAAAGGTGTCATCTTGTTCTTGAGAAAGATATTCTTGAAGGATATTTATCCTTTCAAGAGAGAAAAGTGATACAACTCTCTTCTGAGAAAAAGATTACGTATTTTTAATTTAGACCAGAGATAACAAATGGATGTATTCGTTTTGCAGGTAACTCATATAGTTTGGGATAATTGAGCCCAATTTACTTAGCAGTCCTCATTCATGGGCGTCTCCATCCACGAATGTATGGTATGTGTCTGGTACTTCATTGCTAATATGAAAGTACTAGAGTTTGAAATGTTATTTATGCAAACAAATGAGACAGATTGAAGGTTAGCCCTATTTCTCTCTGTACGTTTCTCTCTGGGCCAGGCCTTGTTCTAAAAACTCCAAAGTCTTGGGTAGGAGAGGAAGGAATGAAATGACATCTTTTTTTTTTTAAATGTTTTTATTGATTATTTTTATAGAGGGAAGAAGAGAGAAAGAGGGAAACATCCATTGCCTGCCTCCTGCACTCCCCCCACTGGAATTGAGCCTGTGACCTCTCGGTGCAGGTGCATGGGTTGATGCTCAACCAACTGAGCCACACCAGCCAGGGCAAAATGACTGCCCATTTAATCTGCCCTAGTCCATAGCAACCTATTTACATATGAATTGCAATTAGTTGTGAAAATGATAAATTATTATGTTATTTTACATCTTTGCAGTCATTTGGTGGTTTTATTAAACTGTAGATTTGTTTCCGATATTGTGCTCTGTGAGGGAATAATATCCACTGTGTGTTTTAATGGAGAAAATGGGAAACATTAGGCTAGAACAGGTCTTTTTTTGTTAATCTTCACCCGAAGACATTTTTGTTCCCACTGATTTTTTTATTTTATTTTATTTTTTAGAGAGAGAGAGTGGAAGGGAAGGGAGAGACAGAGAGGGAGAAACATCAGTGTGAGAGAGATTGACCAGAATAGGGCTAGAACAGGTCTTAATAAACCTCTGTAAGGGGTGCCCAGCCCTAACCCCTTGTGTCCATCAGAACTAATTTGAAAGTGACATTCCAATTAAAACTTGCTTAAACAAAAGTGAGAAATTGTCGACTTTTATATCTGAAAGATCCAGAGTTAGAGCTGAGCTCAGATGTGCTGGAATCAGGGGTCAAACGGTCTCTCTCCCAGCTCTTGTCTCCTTCTTGTGGACTCGGTTGTCAGGCCGCATGGTGGCAAGGTGGCTGCCAGCATCCTTGAGGCTCAAATCCAATGGGAAAGAGCCTCTTCTCTAGAAGCACCTTCAAAATGTGCGGGGATTTACTCTGATTGATCTACCCTTGAATCAATCAATCCATCCATCACCGTTACCAGCATGACACCAGGTGCTGTCCCCAAAAGTGGGGAAAACAACCGCCCTCTGATTCTTGAGAAAACAGATGATGTTATAACAAGGTGGCATGTGTGGTAATGAGTCACTTCTAATCCAAGGAGCCAGGGAAACTGGTTTTCTTTGAGAGGGGACTTCTCAGAAAGTGTCCGCTTCCTCCCGAGCTTCCTCTGAATGGCGCGGGTCTTGCAACATTACTTCCCCATCATCCTTCGGCCTCAGCATTGTCTGCCTCCCTCAGGCATGCTTTGCTTGACAGCATGTTTCACTCTTGTCTTAAAGGAAACATCTGACTTTCTGGAAGTATCATTTAGAAATGTGTTCTGTAGCATAATCGAAAACGCTCCTGCTGTTAATTTAACCAGATAGCGGGTGTGTGTGTGTGTGTGTGTGTGTGTGTGTTTCACAACAGGAAGCCCCAGAAGCCAGACAGTTAGGGGCTGTCGGGGACACAGGCTATTTATATGTCCCAGTCCATAATCCTTTGCACATTTTCCTTTATTCTCAGGCCTCTCTTGTTGCAAGATGGCTGTGGTACTCCCTCCTGGCTATGTTCATGATCCCGGCAGAAAGGGAGACAGGCCAAGGCTTTATTTATTTATTTTTTCTGTAATCCTCACCCAAGAATATGTTTATGGATTTTAGAGAGAGGGGAAGGGAGAGGGAGAGAAAGAAGCATCGATGTGAGAGAGAAACATCGGTCAGTTGCCTTCTGTACACACCCTGACCGGGAATCGAACCCACAATCTTTTAGTGTATGGGGGACGATGCTCCAACCAACTGGGCTACACAGGCCAGGGCATTAAGGGGTTTTTGTAAGGATGAAATCAACTAACATGTCTAAGACCGTTTAGTGAGAGTAGTGACGTCCCTTGCTCACGGCATCCCCAGTGCCTAGCACAGTGCCTGGAGCGTAGTGGGAATCTGAGAAAGTTTTGTGGAATGAGTCCCCCTGGACTCTGCATGCCCCAAAGAGCAGGTTCTTGGCACATAGTGGGAAGTGGGTGTCAATAAATGGAAGCTGTTATTATTGCTGGGAGCTATTATTATCGGAACCAAACATGCTTGGGAACAAGATCTTCTTTCACTGATGTCATGCAGAAACGACTCTTTTTGTGAGGGGGAAACTCCTCTTTTATTGAAGAAAGATGTCAGAGTGGAGGCCACGGTCCCTGGTGGAAACTATTATGCCAGATCGCTTCATGGACACACAAAGTTGTTTTGTTTTTTAAAAATATATACATTTTTATTGATTTCAGAGAGGAAGGGAGAGGGATCAAGAAATAGAAACATTGCCCTAGCAGCTAGGGCCTAGCTGGTTTGGCTCAGTGGATAGAGCATCGGCCTGCGGACTGAAGATCCTGGGGTTCGATTCCAGTCAAGGCCACATGCTTGGGTTACAGGCTCGATCCCTAGTAGGGGATGTGCAGGAGGCAGCCAATCAATGATTCTCTCTCATCATTGATGTTTCTCTCTCTTTCTCCCTCTCCCTTCCTTTCTGAAATCAATATATTAAAAAAGAGAGAGAGATAGAAACATCAATGATGAGAAAGAATCACCGACTGGCCGCCTCTTGCACGGCCCCACACTGGGGATCGAGCCCACAACCTGGGCATGTGCCCCCAGGAACACATAACCCTGACCTCCTGGTCCACAGGTCAATGCTCAGCCCCTGAGCCACACCTGCCCGACACAAGGTAAGTGCTGGGCAGAGAATTTGAGGATGCTGCTGCTGATGGTGGTGGCGAATGACGCTGGCAGCGAAGGAGGAGAAGGAGTTGGTGGGTAAAGCAAACCAGAAAGGAACCCCCTCCACCCTCTACGAAGCACATCTTGGTCCCATTCTTTCCTGCAAATGTGGCAGCGTTATTCCCAGGGAAAGCCTGAGATGAGATCGATTCCAGGGTACGACACACGCAAGGATCGGTGCACAAGAAGGAGGCGATGAAAACAGTCGTGAGAATGTGGCCGAGGAGAAAAACCTAAACAGCGCTGGCATCATCTTTTCAACAATAATTCTGCCAACGGAGGGAACAGGGTTGAAATGTAACGAAAACGCTTTTCCCAGCTGCAGTCTCCTGGCGGAGGCTGATTCATCCAACAGGCGCGAGGTCAGGACTCCAGGACGCATCCCAGACTGCGGGGCCCCTTCACCGGGAGTCACTGCGGCAGGTTTCCGATCGGCCTCCCCGCGCGCGCTCAGGCCGCCCGCCCGCCACCCGACCTCTCTCGCGGGTCACGAGCACCGCCTACTGGTTATCGGACCCTCGGCGGCTCGGCCCCGCCCCCGAACGCCACGCGCATGCTCCGCACGTCCTCCACACCTCCCCGGCTTCTCGCGACAGCCACCCAGCGGCGGCCTGAGTCTCGCGATAAAGGCTCATTGTCTCGCGGGACCGCGCCGGCAGACGGGCTCTCGGGTGGCCGGGCCCGGAGAAGAGGAGTCGCATGTGTCGTTTCAGCCGGCGGTAGTGGCGGGAGCGGAGGCGTCGGCGGCTGTACGACCGCCCGGGTAAACGGTCCCCCTTGATCTTTCCCACTTGGGAGAATCGCGTGTAGAGAGCGTGAGGGGGAAGCTAAGGTGCTGCCGCCCGGCGGAAGGGGCCGGGCCGGGCCAGGCGTCTCCACATCCCCGCCCACATGGGCCCCTCAGGTGTCCCCGGGATTAGCCCCCTGGGGTCCCGGTCCCCGCTCTCCCACCTCGACCGCCCTTGTCACCCCAGTTTCCTTACTTTCTGCGCCTCCTCGGCTCTCCTGCCCTATTTTCTCTCCCGAGACTCTGGTCTCCCCGCCCTCTCCCACTCCCATCCCGGCTCCTGACTCCCTTGGCGTGTAGCTGCCCCCACACCCTGCCCTCGGGGCACGTCCGGGGACCCACCCCGTCTTTGTGGAGCCTTTTCTTCCACCTGCTGGGTGGCCTTGATTGCCGCGGGTTGCACCCCTTCCTAATCACCCCAGACCTTTTGCCCTCTCCTCTCCACCGAAGCTGCCCTGCTCGTTCTTCCCCCCATTCTTCCCTCTCGGACGAGTGCCCTCTGCCCCCCAGGCGCTTGCTTCCCCGTAGGCCTGATAAAGACGGTGTGCCCTGTGCCCGGAGCGGCTCGCGTTTTGTGAATCCTAATGGCAGCTTGTATCGTCATCATCCACTTGACAGCAGGGAGATGAAACGGACTTGGGGTTCGGGTTATTCCTGGTGGGGGACGAGGCAGGGCCACACCCCGGGCACGGCTGCCCCGGGGTCGCGGCCCGCGGTCGTGCAGATGTGTGTTCTTTTTCCCGGCTGACAGGTCTGTGAGATGGCTGCTGACATTGCCGAATCCGGGGGCCATGACTGCAAAGGAGACTCCAGGAGCAACACCAAGTTAGATGCCGACTACCCGATCCGGGTCCTTTACTGCGGAGGCAAGTGTGCCCGGCGTTTGTTGTTATTTTTGTTGTTGTGTTTTTTGCTTACTGTGTTTGTATGCCTTGTGATCATCGTTTCAATCGGTCTTCGTCGTGGGGTGAATCCTTCATTTGAGACGGGGAGATGAACACATGTTCCCCACCTGTGCGTGGGGCTTGTGTCTTGTTACGTGGCCTCCGGGCGAAGTTAACAGTCCAGTTGGAAGAGAGACATGCAGATAGACTGTTTCAGCCGGATGTCACTGGCTAGTCTAGCTGTTAAAGGAGGTCGCTTCTCCGATATGACAAGGAAGCGGGGAAGAAAAAGCTTGGTGCACGCCTGGAGGCACGAACCGCTTTGTGCGCGTGTAGCAGAGGGAGGGTGTCAGGAGCCGAGGAGGAGGAGGTTTCAGCGATGTGTGTGGAAGGACAGTCTTGGGACAGGGTTCTTGGTTTGATTAAAAATAGCCCTGGCCGGTTTGGCTCAGTGGATAGAGCCTCGGCCTGCAGACCAAAGGGTCCCCGGGTTCTATTCCGGTCACGGGCATGTACCTTGGTTGCAGGCTTCTCCCCGGCCCGGGCCCTGGTCGGGGCTCGTGCAGGAGGCAGCCAATCAATGTGTTTGTTTCTCTCACATCGATGTTTCTCTCTGTCTTTCCCTCTCTCTCTCTTCCACTCTCCCTAAAGATCAATGGAAAAATATCCTCGGGTGAGGATTAACAAATATATATATATATATTAGCCTAAATCAGGATTCCCTCCTTTGAATATTTGCCTCATTTTCATACAGAAATATTTGGTGAATTGGAAATGCTCTAATTAAAAAATATATAATTATTTTTATTGATTCTTTTTCACCTAAATGGAGTTGAAGCAGAGGATTAAGATTGGAAAAGCAAAGAGGAGACTACGGCAGTTTGAAATTAGCGAAAAAGAGCTCCTTATGCCTTTTATAACCATGGCCCAAACTATGGCAAGATAGTTTTCCGGAAATCTCTTTTCGCAACCTTCTGACTCAAGTTCTCTCATTCCCCAGATCTGTAGCAAAGGGTTCATTTCCAGGACTCTAAAAAAAAGATATTAATACATGGCGACATTAGATACTGTGTTTTCTCAAAGGTATTTCATCTTGGATGAAGCTTAGATTGAGCCTCCTCCTGGCAGCTGAGTGCATGATGAATTG